CATGTATAAGAGAGTTTTATATAAAAATTAAGTGCACATCAAGAAAACATCCCAACCCAGTGCTGTCTCAAGCCCACAAGTCCAACATTAACCCATATGCCCGACACCAATCCACAAAGTCCTCCTCCATCTCACAAAACACACGCAGTGATGCCGACTGCAGGAGGAAAGCCGAATCAGTGAGCGTGTAAGCATCTCAGCGCTGGCAGGGGTCTCCACACAGCTGCTCCAGCACCCATGGCTGCATCAGGGTAGGTCCATGTAGCTTCTCCTCAGAGATGTCTTGCAGGAAGTGAGCCTTGTCAGCTAAAGCAGGGAACTAGCTAAGGCAGCTGCACCCTGGTCCGACCATCAGAAAGCAAGAGACCCAAGAACCAGAAAGGCGAGGCTCACTGAACCATTTGTTTCTCCGCCCTTCAATTAACCCCACATGTGTTTATCGGCCAGGTTGGCACAATAAACTAACTACCTCAGTTGGAATTGGCTTGATGGCAGTGAAGTTGGTTTTCAATACTAGACCACTATCTTCCCAGAGAGATTCTCATTTAATGGGGTTGTGGACAGAGTTGGACAGGAGGGAGTCCCAGGGTCACATCCTTCCCACTGTTACTCCAGAGTCTGTGCTTGTGAAGGGTTATGGCAGATGACATTACCTGTGCCAATTAAATGGCTGTTGTCTTTTCCCCCTCATGGGATCAGGGTGTGAATCACAAGAATTTAATGAATGGGGTGTAATGTGACCTGTCATGAGGCTTGGGCTCCTGTGAGGGTGTGTGCTCAGGGCTGAGGAGCTATTGTCGGGAGTCTTGGGTACACACACTTCTAGCTCTAGAGCATCTTTATGTTTCCATGCCATCATCCCCCACCTCACCCACTACCTGGTCCCACTACCCAAGAGGAGCTTGGGACACGTACATAGGTTGGGTAGTTTGGCTAATTTGCACACAGCCCTGCTCATTTTGCATTGAAGCCTGTGATGGTCATGGCCCTTTCAGCTCCTTTGATGGAGAAAAAGAGGGGCATTGTCTTTGTCCCTATAGGCACTCACAACCCTGCCCAGGGCATACTGCATGGTGGAGAGAGTTGGGCTGAGTTTCAGCCCTCTTTTGGCCACCTCTTCTGGCTCCCTTGCACATCTCACAACCTGTGCAGCTATACATGACATCTTCCCCATTTCACTTGTACTTTTTTTGCTCTTTAGGATTGTTTAGGACTAAGTGGAGAGCAGGGATGCTCTATTTCCTGCCTGCCAATGGGAGCCTGCTCCAGGGGACAGTGGTGGTATGCAGGGGATCAGAGATGTGTCTGTCTGCGTTAGCCATTTCCAGGTCTAGAATGAAGTTCAGCCCACTGACAGGTTCTCTGGGGTTCTTCCCGGGACCTGTACCATTATTTATTTATTTTTTAAAAATGTCGCGTGTCTCCTAATGTGTTTGCATTGAGCTAGGCGCTGGGATTCAGTAATGGTTAAGATAAGGGACAAAGGTCAAGCCACCAAAACAGTCATAGAATAATGACTGTGTGTTAAAGTAAGGGCTATGAACGACCAACTAGGGAGCTGAGATGCGTACTCTGGTTAAGGTAGTCCAATGGTTAGGAAGGTTTGGGAGCAACTGCTGCCTGGCTGTATGACCTTGGTCATAAGGTGACCAGATTTTAACATTGGTAAAGCGGGACAAAAGCGGGACACCATTGATAAAACTCTTATCCTGGGGAAATAGCCATATGGCAGCCGAAAACCATATACCCTAGCTTGTCGAGCATTCTTTCAAAAAATTGGAACTTTTTAAAAACGCCGCAAGACGTGGGAAAAATTGTTAACAATTGGGACTGTCCTGCCAAAAGTGGGGAATCTGGTCACCTTAAGTCCTTGGGTGAATTGCAGGACCTCTCTGAGTCTCTCAGGTACTGGTGGACACAGGTGTGCCATGGAACAGATGGCTCCTGAAGTTGACTACTGTGCCTCAAGCAGGGCAGAGTTTACAGAGAGGGAAGCTTAGACTTGGGGGGGTTATTGGGGAGAAAATAGTACAAGTACTAGCAGACACTCCAAGGTCACCAACAGGAGAGGAGGTGAGATATAAGGGACTATGCACTGAAAGAGATGGTGGTCTTCAACAGCCACTGCTAGTGGTGACAGATATGCCTGCCTGCCTGCCTGTCTCTCTCTCTCCACCACTTGCTACATACACAGCACACACACACACACTCTCTCTCTCTCTCAAGATATATACACACAAACATTTTAAAGTAGAAGATGGATGTGTGAAGAATGGATTTCAGGTGTGGCGATGAATACTGTTAACAGCTGCTCCTCTGGCCCTTGATTGCTCTAAGTGTTACATGCAGTTATGTTGCAGTCTGTATGGTTGGAATCATTTTAGTGCGTAATATTAATTTGTCTGACACCAGATCTTAATTCATATTTACCTAGTTGCATATTTGAAACCCCACTCCAACTGTAGTTAAGTAAAAACATAGCTTCTTTGGTCCCAGCCCACATTGCCTCTGCATTTCATTGTCTTAATCCTGAGTTTCTACTCTCAGGATGCAAAGTTGGAAGAGAGAGGGCACTTCTTCAACATTGTTTGGCCTGCTAATCACTTGTTTGCATATTCCCTCTGGAGCAGCCTGTTTAAAGGAAACCTAGTGGGGGAGATAATAGTGGGAGACAGATTGTAACGCTGCATAGAACAGGACTTTTAATTCTGAGAGCTGTTGCCGCCATGGCCCTGACCCCACTCCTGTGCAGCTTGCACAGGTGAGAGCACTGAAACATGTTGGAAGGTAATTGCCAAGGGGTTGGTGCGGACTCAGGGTGACCCATGTATATCAGAGTAGAGCTGGGCTCATACAGTTTTCAATGGCTGATTCTTCTGAAGTAGACTGTCAGACCTTGTTTTCTAAGTCACCCCTAGGTGGATTCAAACCTCCAACCTTTTAGTTTTAGTTGAATGTGTTAACTATTTGCACCACCCAGGATTGCTGACAATTATGGGACAGGTACCCTGTGTGAGGCGAGGTGCCTAGGCTGTTTAGAGATCATCCCACTTAACCCTCCCAATAACCCTTTGCCTCAGGTATTATTATGACCTTGATTTTTCAGGCGAGAAAACTAAAGCCTGAAAGTTAAATCATTTGCCTAAAGACACATAGCTTCTCAGAAACAGGGCTTGAATTTGTACCCAGGCAGCCTGGTGCTAGAACCCAAGTACTGACGCTAGTCCAGCTTTACTGCGCTGCATGCCATGAGCCCATGATTAGCGTGGTAGGTTGCAGTAGGTGCTTGCCAGTCCCAGCTTGCTAGGATTCTGGTTGACATCGCCTGCCCCTTAGCGATCAGTGGTCTCAAGAGTAGCCTTTGACACAGACAACCTTGTACCTATGTCCAAACTCTGCACACACCCTCAACTACCTGTGTAGCTTCAGGCACATCACTTCACCTTTGTGAGTTCTTGTGTTGAACAGCCGTTTCAACACAACAGTGTCCGCCCAGCCTTCCACACTGTGCCTAGCAAACCGTGTGTACCCCCAGAGCACTCTCAATTGCATTGCCAGTATGAGGTGAACTGGGTGGTAGGTGCAGCTTGCACATGTGTAGAACTCCAGAGCCTATTACAACCGAAAAACACTGTGTGCACACATTTTTTGCTTCAACAGAGTTCTATTTTATAATGTCCGTAACCCATCTTTAATAGGATTCCATACCCCAGGCCAGGATTAATTCCAGAGGCTTTTTGATGTTGTGTAGTTTCTCCTATGTTCTTGAGTGCATAACCTTCCCAATCCTGTGCACACAGGCTGTGGTTTGGAGTGATAGGGACACCCTATCCTTACCCAGCCTCTTGCTGTGAAGTAGGGGAGGTGAGTTGCCTTCAGTGGGATAGCCATGACTTGGGGTACTCAAACTTGTTGACCACAAGACATTTGACCTCAGCATGTGGATCAAATCTCAGGGTGGGTAACAGCACCCCAAGCTTGCTAACTTCTGAGAGGAACCTTGTTTGTTTTTTGAAAGATTCTAGAAAACTTCTACATTTCAGTGGTAGCCAGTGGGAGCTACTTGGTAGAGGATGATGCCTGCAGGATCCTGGAAAGGTCCAAGTTCGTGCTTTATTCAATGACTGGTAAATAGCATCATCCCAAGTGAAAACTAAGTTCTAGTTAGAAATGGCCTGTGGCACTATGTAAAGAAAGATTTTGCTGCTGCTTCTTGACTTGGGACAGTTCTGAGATTGAGTAGTGATGTCTGCCAGGGCCATAGGAATGGGGACATTATAACAGACACCACGCCTATTTTTGCTATTCATGCTTTAGTCATTTTACACCTTTGTGAGACTAACAACATCCTCTTTATAGAGTCTTAATACTTCTACCCCGAACAGAAATCCCTGAGTGGTTCCAGTGGTTAACTCACTCAGCTGCTAACTCAATGGTGGGAGGTTTGAGTCTGCTCAGAGGCGCCTGAGGACTGGTGATCTACTTTTGGAAAAAATCAGTCATTGAAAATCCCAATTTTTATACATGTGGATTATCATTAGTCAGAGTTGACTTGACAACAACTAGTTTGGTTTGATGCCCTGACGTGGGTAGTAGAAGGAACCCGCCCTGCACATGTACAGTCTTCCTTGTCCTGTGCCCTTCACCCCAATTACCTGTTTGCACCAGGACTTCTAAGCAGTTTGAAATGGCTCAGTCATGACTTCTGGACACGAGGGTAGCATATGCATTCCATAGCAACCACATGGCTTGTGCATCTGACTTTGACTCTAGTAGGAAACAGGTAGTGACATAAAGTCAAAGATAGCGCTGGCCATGTGTCCACACATCTTTGTGTGGGGCATCGCTGCCTGTTTCAAGTTCCACATTCGGTTACTATGCAACGTGTATGCTGTTCTTGCTTCTGTAGGTCATGACTGAACTATTTTAATCTGGTGTGAAGTCCTGGTTTGTACAACTTCACAACTCACTGCCACACCTCTGCTCTCTCTTTCAGTTGAAGAGGGAGAGGCCTTGGACTTCGCACGGGCCTGGGATTCCTTTGTGGCAGCATCAGGTAAATGTCTGGGAGCTGGTGGGAGGGCTGCTGGGGGTCCGAGGGAGTTGGCCAGAACTCAGAAAGCCATCTGGTTGCTTATAGACATTGTGTTTTCCAAGTTACATTTCTGTCCCCTTTCTATACTACCTGATGCAAAGAGATTTTTATATGTGTTCCCTTTGGTCAACATAGTCTATTGCAGATATATGCAGATATATGTCCTTCTTTCCTGAGGACCAGATTCAGATGACCCACGACCCTCTGCGCAGCTTTGAAGTCCCTGCAATGAATATGTGGCACCTTCATTCCAAGCTACTTCCAGAAAAGCTACTTTCCATAGGATCTTTATGCTCCCATCTAAATAAGAACTCTTATATTTCTTTTCCTGGAAGGATCTGCTTTGTGTTCTGAGGGCTGGCTGATCCCAGATCATACCCCCAGGGTGAGGTAATCGGAGACACTCACACTTGTGGGGATTGAAGTATAATCTATAGGCAGATATCTATACAATTTAATATATAGATAGGTATTTACATATGCATAGGAGAGAGAGAGGAAAAAAATTAGCTCATAGGATTATTGGGGCTAGCAAGTTCAAAATCTATCTTTAGGCTTGTATACCAAGATCCATAGGTCAGGTAAAGGACAGTATGCAGTGGTGAGACCAGCAAATTCTCCCAAAGTATTTATAATCTGGAGGCAGAACACACCCTAAGGAAGCTCTATTTTTATTGATTGTATTCAGTTATATTATAGAAAGCCATTATATTATGTTCTGAAACAGCAGCGAGTCTAGTATTTAACCAAACCACTTGGAAGTTGGCACTTAAATAAACCATAAAATTAACCCTCATGGTGGACAGTAATAGGGATGGCTTGACCATCAGGGCACTTGAGTTTTTAACTCAGTTCTCTGCTTGCATAGGCTTCTTCTGGACCTCAGTTTCCCCAGCTGTAAAGAGAAGTAGCTAACTGAGGTTTTCTCTAACTAGAAACTCTGTAATTGGAGACTGCCCATGGAGTTTAGGATTGGAGCGGGTTTTGGGGTCTCTAGGGGCTTCTGTGGAGGGTGGCTCTGCAGTTTGGGCCTTGTATAGCCTGTGCTTCTCTTGGCAACAGAGTTCCTGGCCTGATGCTTGTCAATATCTGACAGGTGCCAAACTCTTTGTTTCCTGTCTCCTCCTTACCGTGTGCCAGGCCAGGCCTAGGAGCCTGATCAGTTGACTGAAATCTTGTGGGAGCTGGAGCCAGTCTACTTTTATAGAATCTTTTAGTTCATTTAGTTTCTTTTTTTTCTGGATTAATGGTTTCTTTCTTTTTAAAAAAATCATTTTATTGGGGGCTCCTACAACTCTTGTGTCAAACACATTTGTATATTTGTTGCCATCATCATTCTCAAAACATCTGCTTTCTGCTTGAGCCTTTGGTATCAGCTCTTCATTTTTCCCCCCTCCCTTCCTGCCCCCTCCCTCATGAACCCTTGATAATTTATAGTTTATTTAGCCTTCTCTTTGTTCAGATGTAGAAACCAAGACAAGAATAGACATTTTATGGGTTGGTTTTTTTAAAAAAAATCATTTATTGGGGCCTGGTACAATTCTTATCACAATCCATACATGCATCCATCGTGTCAAGCACATTTGTACATTTGTTGCCATCATCATTCTCAAAATGTTTCCTTTCTACTTAAGCTCTTGATATCAGCTCTTCATTTCCCCCCCTCATTCCCTGCTCCCCCTCCCTCATTAACCCTTGATCACTTATAAATTATTATTATTTTGTCATATCTTACACTGTCCGACGTCTCCCTTCACACACTTTTCTGTTGTCCATCCCCCAGGGAGGGGGTTATATGTAGATCCTTGTAATCAGTTCCCACTTTCTACCCCACCCTCCTCCAACCTCCAGGTATCTAGCTACTCTCACCACTGGTCCTGAAGGGATCATCCTGCCTGGATTCCAGGGGACAGGAAACAGAGTTTGGCACCTGGATTCCAGTTCCTGTCTGTACCAGTGTACATCCTCTGGTCTAGCCATATTTGTAAGGTCGACTTGGGATCATGATAGCGGGGGGAGGAAGCATTTAAGAACTAGAGGGAAGTTGTTGCTACACTGTACCCTGACTGGCTTGTCTCCTCCCAGTGACCCTTTTGTAAGGGGGTGTCCAGTTGCCTACAGATGGGCTTTGGGTCCCCACTCTGCACTCCCCCTCATTCACAATGATAGGGTTTTTGTTCTTTGATGCCTGATACCTGATCCCTTTGACACCTTGCAATCGCACAGGCTGGTGTGCTTCTTTCATGTGGGCTTTGTTGCTTCTGAGTTAGATGGTCTCTTGTTTACCTTGAAGCCTTTAAGACCCCAGATGTTATATCCTTTTGATAGCCAGGCATCATCAGCTTTCTTCACCACATTTGCTTATGGCATTTAAAAAATATCAGATATGTAAAGATTTTTAAAAAACATTTTAATGATTATATATTTGTTTCTATGCATGCTAAATAAAATCACAAGTGACACATCTAATGTGTATCACAGCTCATATGACAGATATTCTTATGATGCTAAATTCACTTAAATGAGTTGACAAGAAATTTTTTAAAAGACCTTTTTATTGTGATGTGAGTGAAAGCTTACAGAGCAAATTGGTTATCCATTCAACAATACGTTCACATTTTATTTTATGTCATTGATTGTAATCACCGCGATGTAACTGTTCTCTTCCCACTTCCTCCCTGTATTTAATTTCCATTTATCCTTATTTTCTATTCCTTCTTGCTTCTGAGCTCTAGTCCTGGGCAAATGCTACCCTTTTGATTCATATGGTTGGTTGTTTTAAGGAGTTCATACTTCTCATATAAGCCTGAAAAATTGAGCCAAGGGGGTAAGCTCACTTTCATGCCTAAAGGGTGACCAAAAACCGTAATATTGGGGTTTCCACCAGTTTCTATCCAACCAGTAAGTGATCTTTTTCTCTTATTTTGAGTCCCACATTTTTGCTCCCATTTCCTGTTGTGACCCCTTTCAGAGTAGTCAGCAGTGGCACCATCTAGTTCTTTTGGTCTTAGGTTCCCAGAGCCTGAGGTTCGTGTTGCTTGTCAGTACTTTGGATGGAGTATTTCCGTGTGTCTTTGATTTTGCTTACTCTTCTTTGCTCTGGATGGGGAGAGACCACTGGCTGTACCTTCATGGCTGCTCTTAAGCTTTTAAGACCCCGGTTGCTCCAGGATGTAGAACACTGTAGACTATTTTATGTCAATTGGTGTTGGTGTCCCCTGAGCCTGCGATCCTGAGCCCCTAGACCCAACATCTTATTCCTTCAAGGTGTTTGATTATGGCTAAAAAGTTGTCATTATTTTGCCCTTTGTGTGCCCTACTATTTTCATGGGTATATTTGTAGAATATATAACTGCATATCTAGAAATGCCCTCTGTCAAACCTTCTATCTTTGTGAATGTAGACCCATTCACCTTCCCTTCCCTGTTCAGCTTGGGTGGCTATGTCTTCCCTGGAAGATTATTGTTGTTACTGTTAGTGTAGACTTTGGTATGCACTAGTATTTACCTTTGTTGCTTTTGGCTCCTGTGCTCTTCCCAGTGCCATCCTTTGACTGTATCTTTTTTGCTGCTCTTCTCCTTCTTATCTGTTACCCTCTTTTGCACTTTTAATTCAGGTATCTTGAAAGACTGTTTCCTTATGTGTGCAAACCTTTTCTTGACTCTTTATACAGTAATGGTTTTATATAATATTTGTCCTTTTGTGATTAACTTCACTCAGCATAATGGCCCCAGGTTTATGAGCCTCCTGAGGTCTCTTCATCATTATCCTTTAACTTTGTGTCATATTCCATTGTGCATAAGGACCACAGTTTGTTTGTTTATTCATCTTTTGATAGGCAACTTAAGTTGTTTCAGACGTTTTGTATTGTGAATAATACTGATCAGCCAGTATGGATGTGCACATATCTATTCATATCATGGCCCCTATTTCTCTACGATTAAAAAATATA